CTCTAAGCTATATTTCATAAAGTTTCTACTAATCTGTTTAAAAAAAAAAAAAAAAGCTGCCACGCCCAGCCCCCACTCTGCACTGCCCCTGCTTCATTCAGACCATGACGACTCCTCGCCTGGTCTTGAGGCTTTTCTAACACTTTTCTCACTGGAATTAGATTTGTTTACCTCAAACACTCTCAGGGTCTCCCCATGGCCTAGAGAATGAAGACCAAGGCCTCAGATCAAGAGTGAAGGCCTCTAGCCAGGTGCAGTGTCACCTGCCTGTAATCCCAGCAGCTCGGGAGGCTGAGACAGGAGGATTGTGAGTTCAAAGCCAGCCTTAGTAGCGTTGAGGCGCTAAGCAACTCAGTGAGGCCCTGTCTCTAAATAAAATACAAAATAAGGCTGGGGGTGTGGCTCAGTGGTCGAGGGCCCCTAATAAAAAAAAAATTTWAAAAAAAGTGAAGGCCTCCAGCCCTGCCTCACTCATGAAGAGGACCCCTGGCCGGCGGAAGCCCTTGACGATGTCCAGCCACCCCACACCATTCCCCTCCCTGCAGGCAGGGTTCGTTCCCTGAGCTTGGGATGCAGGGCTCCTCCAGCTGGCCCTCCAGGCAGATTCCACTGCTCCCCAGCACCCCACTTCCCAATGGAGCCTCCACAGTGGGTTCTCTGACTCATGGGTCAAGCACGGCGCTGCTGTTCTCCTTCCTCTTCATGTCCCCACACCCAGCACAGGGCTGGCACTGGGGGACCTCAGTTGAGGTCGCTGCTGATCTCACTGAATGGGACCCCCACAGATCAGCTACGAGGCCAGCAGCATGGTGCTCAGCTCGAAGTGGCAGTACCCCTCTTTTCTGCGTACCATCCCCAATGACAAGTACCAAGTGGAGATGATGGTGCTGCTACTACAGAAGTTCGGGTGGGTCTGGATCTCTCTGGTTGGCAGCTACGGTGACTACGGGCAGGGGGGAGTACAGGCACTGGAGGACCTGGCCACAAAGCGGGGCATCTGCATTGCCTTCAAAGGCATCATGTCTTCCTCTGCCCAAGAGGGCGACAAGGAGATGTGGAGCATGATGCGCCACCTGGCCCTAGCCAGGACAACCGTGGTGGTGGTTTTCTCCAGCCGGCAGCTAGCCAGGGTGTTCTTCAAGTCCGTGGTGCTGGCCAAACTGACCGGAAAGGTGTGGATCGCCTCAGAAGCCTGGGCCATCTCCACACACATCACCAACGTGCCTGGGATCCAGGGCATTGGGACAGTGCTGGGCGTGGCCATACAGCAGAGGCTTATCCCTGGCTTGAAGGAGTTTGAGGCGGCCTATGCCCGTGCGGACAAGGGAGCCCCCAGGTCCTGTTCTAAGGGCTCCTGGTGCAGCACAAATCAGCTCTGCAGAGAGTGCCAAACTTTCACAGAATACACGATGCCCAAGCTCGGGGCCTTCTCCATGAGTTCTGCCTACAACGTGTACCGGGCAGTGTATGCTGCAGCCCACGGCCTCCACCAGCTCCTAGGCTGTGCCTCTGGAACCTGTTCCAGGGGCCAAGTCTACCCCTGGCAGGTAAGAGCCCAGCCCCAGGCCCCCTGTGTCAGGGAGAAGAGCCAATCCTGAGACAAACAGAGTAGGCACTCTTGGTCACCCCAAAAGACAGTGACTTGAGGGGTGGTGTTCCCTTAGACAAATCCTCTCCTCTCTGAACCTTGCCTTCTGCAAGGTGCTAAAAAAAAAGAAATCTCTGCAAAGGAATCCTTTGCTGGAGGCCTTCTCTGGGAGGGCTGGTGGGAAGGGCTCCAAGGAAGGGACAACAGGTGTTCCGGGGGTAGAATCACCGGGTTGGGAGCCCAAGAGACCCCTGGCACTTGCTTCTGGCAGTCTGTGTCTACGTGGTCTGCCGTAGCTTTACAATCTCTGTTTGCTTTAGCTTTTGGAGCAGATCTATAAGGTGAATTTCCTTTTACATGAGGACACTGTGACATTTGATGACAATGGGGATCTTCTCAGCGGCTATAACATCATTGCTTGGGATTGGATTGGGCCCAATTGGACCTTCAGAGTCATTGGCTCCTTCACATGGTCTCCAGTTCGGCTGGCCATAAATAAGACCAATATCCAGTGGCACGGAAAGAACAATCAGGTAATGGGGATGTGGTGGCTCACCAGGTAACTGCTTCATGGGGGCCAGGAGCTTGAAAGTGGCACTTACCCAGGGCAGGAAGCAGACCCCTAGTAGCAGACTGCCATCATTCTACCCAGCCCTGCCAGGGATGCTGGCTTCATGTGCTAATAGACAGATGCTCACTGGGAAGCCATAGGTTTACCCCACCAGGGGCTCTGCCTGGGAATGATCTCCGAAGGCACAGGCATGGAGATTCTGCCTCTGTCTCACAAGTAAGCTGTCCTTTGACTTGGGCCCCTCCATGTGGCTACAGGACACCTGTGGCTTCTTACAGGTTCCCRCATCTGTGTGTACCAGAGACTGTGTTGAAGGGCACCATCGGTTGGTCATGGGTTTCCACCACTGTTGCTTTGAGTGTGTGCCCTGTGAGGCTGGGACCTTCCTCAACAAGAGTGGTGAGTGAACAAAGTGAGTGGGCCAGTGATCAGCACTCCCAGGGGCTGTCCAGCAGGTAAAGAACCTCTCCCAGGCCCCGTGTGTACGGTCAGCCCCAGGACAGTCATGGGCTGCCAGTTAGGTGCAGGTTGACAGACACCTGCCTCCAGATTGAATTCTGATCAAGCAGACAGAAACAACAGAAGTTAACCTGTAGACCACGGTGTGTCCTCTATCAGAGAGTTCATGTCACATCTGCAGAGGCATCTTATCCTGAGTTCAACCTCTTCATTCCACCGGATGTAGCTACTGTTTTCTTTGTACTCTCCCATCCTATTTGTGGGAAGTCCCTTCTGTTGCCCATGCTGAACTCAGCCAGCTCCTAGACACCTGGTAGAATGTCTGCCGTAGGAGAGTGTACCACCCAGTGACACAAAGTGGAGGCCAGAGAGCAACTTATGTAGCTAAAGGCTCAGCCCAGARCTGAACACTAGGGGCCACATTCTTCGCTTTTACTTCTCTGTGGTGATGTGGGGATGGGACACTATGCCTTCTGTCCCCAGAGAGTCAGGACTCAGAAATCACAGAGCAGAAGCCTAGGAAGTGGATTCAGCTAGTGGAAGTGCTGGAAAGAGATGACCACATCCTTCCTTTGGGGCTGGCTGCTCGTACTGGAGCTCAGCCTCACTGGCATGGGGGCAGAGCGACCACTGTAAGGCCCTGTGGGTTTGCAAACCCCTTTTTGGATCATGAGCCACCCAGAACTTATCCATGTTTCTCCAGAATATGTAACTGACACAGACACTTTGAGGAAACACTTGGCCTCCAGCTGCACTCCAGGCTTTCCTGACACTGCCCCCTTCAATACGCTTTCCGGAGGAAGCTGCTGTGATATAGGTCTCGCAGCATCTTKCGGACCTGCAAGCCTCCTTTCCCCAAACCTACTTTGTTCAACTGGCTCTCAGGAACCACCTTTGTTTTCCCTTCCAGACCTCTACAGATGCCAGCTTTGTGGGAAAGAAGAGTGGGCACCTGAGGGAAGCCAGACCTGCTTCCCACGCACAGTGGTGGTTTTGACTTGGCAGGAACCCATCTCTTGGGTGCTGCTAGCAGCTAATACATTGCTGCTGCTSCTACTGGTTGGGACTGCTGGCCTGTTTGCCTGGCACCTAGATACCCCTGTGGTGAGGTCGGCTGGAGGTAGGCTATGCTTCCTCATGCTGGGCTCCCTGGCAGGAGGTAGCTGCAGCGTCTATGGCTTCTTTGGGGAACCCACGCTGCCCGCGTGCTTGCTGCGCCAGGCACTCTTTTCCCTGGGTTTTGCCATCTTCCTATCCTGCCTGACAGTTCGATCCTTCCAACTGATCATTATCTTCAAGTTTTCCACCAAGGTGCCCAGGTTCTACCGTGCTTGGGTCCAACGTCATGGTGCTGGCCTGTTTGTGATGATCAGCTCAATGGCCCAGCTGCTCATCTGTCTAATCTGGCTTGTAGTGTGGACGCCACTGCCCACAAGGGAATATCAACGCTTTCCTCAGCTGGTGGTGCTTGAGTGCACAGAGAGCAACTCACTGGGCTTCCTGCTGGCTTTCACCTATAATGGCCTCCTCTCGGTCAGTGCTTTTGCCTGCAGCTATCTGGGCAAGGACTTGCCAGAAAACTACAACGAGGCCAAATGTGTCACCTTCAGCCAACTCCTTAACTTTGTATCCTGGATTACTTTTTTCACCGTGGCCAGCGTCTACCAGGGCAAGTACCTGCTCGTGGTCAATGTGCTGGCCTTTCTGACCTGCCTGAGCAGCGGATTCAGTGGTTACTTCCTCCCTAAGTGCTACGTGATCCTCTTTCGCCCAGACCTCAATAACACAGAGCACTTTCAGGCCTCCATCCAGGACTACACTAGGCGTTGCAGCCCCTCCTGAGCAGCGGGTCAGGCAGAGCCAGCTGAGGCGGGGYGGGGTGGGCTGTCAATCTATCCTGCCCTGAAAGCTGAAGTTGGTCAAGCTGGGTGGAGGGCCTGCAGTGTCCGGGAGACCTTTGGGCGTCTCAGTCTTGGCATGCGATGTGTCACCGCACGGGTGAACAGACCCCAGGCTCCGGGCTGCCAATAAAGAGGTGAAATGCGTGTTTACGTCCCCTTGGCGCATGCTGTCAGGAGAGGGTGGGGCCTCGCTGGTCCGAGTCTGAGCGCCTAGCAGTCCCGGCCAAGCGTGGCGTTGCCAAGCAACTCCGGAAGGTGGGCCCGTCGCTGGAAAACTTGGCTCGGCCACGCCCCCTACGTCCATTGGCGGCTCGCAGAGGCCCCGCCCCCAGGGCCGAGCTGAGAACCCTACGTCTCGGAGTCTTTTCACCCGGGCCGGCGCGCCCTGACGTCACATCCGGCGCAGCGTCGGCGGCGTCTGCGCCTGGTGGGCAGGGCACGTCGGGCCTGGGCAGTTGGTCCGTGGGCTGTAGAAGGGAAGAGACGGAAGTGGGGCCGGTGCTGCGGGCGCAGGGAGGACCGGTCCGGGTGAGGAGGTCACGGGGCACGGGAGGGGGACTKCGGGCCGCCTTAGCCACCGATGGTAGTGTGGCCGCGGCCGCCTTTCGCCCGCCGCTCGCGACCTGCGGGTGCGGCGTGAGCTCCGCTCACCTGTGCGCGGCCGCCGCCCTCCCCGGCTCGGGGTCCTCTGGCTGAGCCCCGCCGATCTGTTCGCACTCCTCTGCCGCCCCCTTCCTTCAAAGTTCGTTATTCCCAGCCGCACCTCTCCACGACCCTGTCCTGTCCCCGCCATGCCATGCCCGCACCATCCTCTGGCCAATCCAGTATGACCCCCGCTCCCCCCGCCCCCGGCTGTCAGTCCYTTCCTGTGCTCCGCGTGCACCCTTTAACCTTGACCTCGGCCCTTTTCCTGATTAGTGTGCGTGAGTAGCGTCCATCCTCCCTTTTCTTGTCAAAACGAGGGGCTTTCTCTTATTCTCGGTTGGGCTGGCCAGGGTGTCACTTCCGCCTTCTTCTCCTTCAGACCATGGACGGCTCCTTCGTTCAGCACAGTGTGAGGGTTCTGCAGGAGCTCAACAAGCAGCGGGAGAAGGGCCAGTACTGCGATGCCACCCTAGACGTGGGGGGCTTGGTGTTCAAGGCACACTGGAGTGTCCTCGCCTGTTGCAGCCACTTCTTCCAGAGCCTCTATGGGGATGGCCCAGGGGGCAGTGTTGTCCTCCCTGCTGGCTTCTCTGGGATCTTTGGCCTCCTGTTGGACTTTTTCTACACTGGTCACCTCGCCCTCACCTCAGGGAACCGGGATCAAGTGCTCCTGGCAGCCAGGGAGTTGCGAGTACCAGAGGCTGTGGAGCTGTGCCAGAGCTTCCAGCCCAAAACTTCAGTGGGACAGGCATCAGGTGGCCAGAGTGGGTTGGGGAAACCTGCCCCTCAGGATGTGAACAGCCACTTCAAGGAGCCAACAGACTTGGAGGAAGAGGAAATTACAAGGACTCTTGGCCTGGTCCCCAGGGATCAGGAGCCTAGAGGCAGTCACAGCCCCCAGAGGTCCCAGCTCAGCTCCCCTATTCAGAATGAGAGCCCCTCCTTCCTTGCTGGAAAACTCAAGCAGGCTCTGAAGCCTTGTCCCTCAGATGACAAAGAGTCTGAGGACTGCAAAGTGCCCCCAAGGCCCTTTGAGGCTGAAGGTGCCCAGCTGCAGGGCGGGTGTAATGAGGTACTGTGCCCAGGGTGCTGGAACCAGGGAGGCAAAAGTTGGGGAAAAGATGGACAGTTCTGGGGTGCTCTGGACCCCAAAGTAGAATCTCTGTTTTAGTGGAACAGGCTTTCTCTGAACATAGGAAGCCAGTGACCTCAGCTGACCATTCTGTGAGTCACAGCTGTCTACGATTTCCAACTTCCTTGGGGGTGGAGTGGGCAGCATCAGGGTTATAGGTGTTTCCCTCAAGTAGTGAAATCTGGCCAGGCTTCTAGTGTCTTATAGAAACAGTCACTTCTCCCCACATCCAAGATTCAGATGTCTGCCCTGGGCTCCTGAAGGGACCAATCCCTGATGAAAGGACTCATCTAGGTTGGGGTTTGGGATGGAACTAAAGCTGGGTCCCCACAACCCCTGCTGATTAATTTGGTGACCCCACCCCCTCCTGCTGCCTCTTCTACTCTAGTGGGAAGTGGTGGTTCAAGTTGAGGACGACGGGGATGGCGATTACGTTTCTGAGCCTGAGACTGTGCTGACCAGGAGGAAGTCAAACATAATCAGAAAGCCCTGTGCTGCAGAGCCAGCTCTGGGTACAGGTTCCCTAGCAGCCGAGCCCGCTGAGAACAGAAAAGGTACAGCGGTGCCGGTTGAATGCCCCACATGTCATAAAAAGTTCCTCAGCAAATATTATCTAAAAGTGCACAACAGGTAAACACTGTTTTTCTACTTTTTTTTCCTSTCTGCCATTCCCATGTTGGGGGAGGGGTCCTGAACTTCCCACTTGTGGGCTTTGTAGGGGCTGGGGGCTTTAGCTCAGACTAACATAGTGCCTGGTGTGGGCATACCTCTGTTTATCAGGGTGTGGGAACCTGGTTTGGGTCAGATTTTCCTCCCCCTTCTACTGTGTGTCTTCTGGTTAGAGATGGATTAGTAGACAACCTTGTCAACAGGTTGGGCCCACTGTGGACTTTGACCTCCTCCTGGCTTCTGCTGTGGGGAATGGAAAATCCTGTGGACTCTAAGCTGAAACTAGGGCCTGACCTTAGCAATTTCTAAAGCCTGGCAGTGTGGGCTTTGGGCTAGGTGCTCATTTTGAGGATTGGTGCTATTTCCATTTCTGGGGACATTAGCTTTAAGGTGTAGAGCATAAAAGACCATTTGTCTAAAGCTGGAGTGTCCAATAAGGTAACCAGCAGTCCCCTGGTCCATTTTTGTTTTTGTTTTATTTTTAATAAGTTGTAGATGGGCACATATCTTTATTTTATTTACTTATTTTGTGCGGTGCTGACGATCTAACCCAGTGCCTCACATGTGCTAGGCAAGCACTCTACCACTGAGCCACAACCCCAGCCCCTGTGAATCCATTTTAATTTAAAATTAGTTAATTCAGTTTCTCAGACACACTACCCCCATCTCAAGTGCTTGGTAGCCATGTGGCTCCTGGCCGCTTAGCAGACAGCGCAGACATTCCACTGTCCTAGAGAGTCCTCTTGCACAGTGCTGCTCTGGAGCGCCTGCAAAGCCTCTGGGGACAGCAGGTAGGTGACAGGCTTTCCATTCCTGCCACTCTCCAGCCYAAGACATCACAGTGTGCTTTCTGAGCAAGCCAGGTTGTGTCACATAAGTGTTCTCAGTCTGATACTCTGGGAAGTCACCGGTGATCCTGGAGCTGGAGCTGGATCTGGGGTTGAGAGCTTTTGCTACCCCTGTGCTCGACCTCAGGGTGGTTACCACTAGTGGAGCCTTTGGGTAATCACAGTGTGTGGGGAACCCTGGGCCTGTGTGTTCTGCCCAGACACTTAGGCTGTCCGCTACTGAAAGATTCCAGTGCAGAACAGTCTCCATTCCTCTTTATCTCGGGATGTATGTTGCTGGCTGGCCCTGAGAGCTGGGAGGGGAACAGTGCTTTCAGGAGGCCACTGCAGCAGGGCCTGAGGACCGCTGATAGTGTAGCAGGGGATGAGAGAATGGGCCTCTGGCGGGTTGTGAGGTAGCCCATGGGCTCTTTGGTCGGTGTTCATTAGTTCATTCCACAGACTGATAGACAGGGCTGGCATGTAGCTCAGCGGTGGAGCACCTGCCTAGCACAAGGCCCTGGGTTCAATCCYTGGCACTGCCCCCCCAAAAAAACAAATTGCCAGATAGCTGACAAGACTTATGAGCACTCAGGATACACCAGTGGACTAAACAGAGGCCATTATTGAGGGCTTAACTTCTTGTAGGACAGTGCAGATGAAAGCGTAAAAACCTAATGAGGAAATGTGTAGTGTGACAGTGGGTCCAGGGGCTGGGGTCAGGGTGGGGACAGTTGCTGTCTTAAATAACCATGGTCTGGGTGACTTACAGGGAAGGATTTTTTTTTTTTTTAAAGAGAGTGAGAGAGGAGAGAAAGAGAATTTTTAATATTTATTTTTAGTTCTCGGCGGACACAACATCTTTGTTGGTATGTGGTGCTGAGGATCGAACCCGGGCCGCACGCATGCCAGGCGAGCGCGCTACCGCTTGAGCCACATCCCCAGCCCCCAGGGAAGGATTTAAAGAGCAAAGATTTAAAGCAGCTAAGGAAGCCATCCATGGGAATAGCATTTGGGCAGGCACAGGAGCCTGCGAGAAGCTCTTGGCTAGGAGTGAGAATGGCAGGTTGAGGTGCTGGGAAGGGGTGAAGGGCGAAGGCCTTTCTCGCGGCTGAGTGGGAGACATCACAGCCAGGCTAACAAGGTACGGGGCAGACCAGCTCATGGAGGGCTACTAAGGCCACTTGTCTTTTTTTTTTTTAATATTTATTTTTTAGGTGTAGATGGACACAACCCAATGCCTTTATTTTTATGTGGTGCTGAGAATCGAACCCAGATCCTGCCCCTGCTAGGGGAGTGCTCTACCGCTGAGCCACAATCCCAGCCCCAGGCCACTTGTCTTTTTTTTTTTTTTTTTTTAAGAGAGAGAAAGAGAATTTTTTTAATATTTATTTTTTAGTTTTTGGCAGACACAACATCTTTGTTTATAGGTGGTGCTGAGGATCGAACCCGGGCTCACGCATGCCAGACAAGCACGCTACTGCTTGAGCCACATCCGCAGCCCCGAGGCCATTTGTCTTAAAAGGGTTCCTCTGGCTTCTGAATTTAAACTTGCCTGGGAGGATGGTGTGGAGGGGAGGATGTGTGTTAGCTCACGCGGGGCTTAGATCTGCTGTTGGACTGTGTGGTAGCAGCGAGGTGCATGGTCCGATTTTGGCCACAGTTTTG